AATCTACTGCTACGCACCCATACACCCACACATGCATGCAACTACAACAGTATGTACAACGGTTGTGTGTATGTGTGTAACGTCATGTATGCAATGAATAAGAAAAAGCAAAAAGTATATGCTTGCACACACACACACACACATGTTACGTACGCGCTTTCTATCTCTTTCTCTCCCCTCTCTATCTCCTTTTCTCTTTCTGTCTCCACTCGTATATTTTTCTCTACACATGCATTCATACATATATATCTGTATATATACATATACATAATTGCGAAGGAGTTAAGACGGCTTGCTCGTTAGTCAAAAAAAAAAACTGCGAAGCAACGAACCTCCCCCTTGAACTTTTTTTCTTATTTATTCATTTTTTCTTTTTTTTTTTCATATATATGTATTTTGCTTGCTGGCTGGAGGCTGGCTCAATACACAGATGTTGAAAGGCTCCACTCTGCATGCATGCATGTGTGCTTCTGGGTGTGTGTGTTTGCATATGTACATACATATACATATAACATATATATATATATATGTATGTATGTATGTATATATGAGAATGTTAGCAGCCTTAGTGTGTGTGTGTGGGGGGGGTTGGGGAGACCCGAAAAAGGGGGTTTTCGTTACCTTCCGTCGTGTGTGTTTTATTCATCTAAATTTAAGCGTAAACGCAGACGCGAGTTTTTGGCTTACGAGTGTCACTATGAAATGACAATGTAAGTATATCTATATGTGTGTACATACATGCATACGCCACACTGTTGAATACAGACATACCTACATTCACACACACACACACACACACACATTTTTATGTAGGAGCATCAACGGCTGGGCTGTAGGTGGCTCGCTAATAAATGTATGTATGTATGTACATATGTATGCATGTATAACTGTATGCAGCATTCGCACTCGACACACGTACACACACACAGAGAGAGAGAGAGAGAGAGAGTAAAAGAGAGATAAAGATACGTTTGTCAGTGGATGGGCTAGAGCTGTTTCGCTAATAAATGTACGTATATATGTGCATGTGTGAGTATGTGCATAAATTTACATACGTACACACACACACACACACACACATACACACACTCATAGCTACCGCTAAGGGTGGAGCATTTATAATGTACAGCAGATTCTCCATACGCAATTCACTAGGGAATAAATAAAATGGAGTTTTCTAATTAAAGTTCCAGAATTGTTCCTTTGCTTTGAAAAAGTCGACAAATATTGCATACAATATATGCATATACATACATACATGTACGTACTATGTACATATGCTTAGATGTATGTACATATATATAGTTAAAAACCTATAACTAGGTGAGAATAAATGGATATAATACGAAATGTTCATACAATCGCATGTCCGTCTGTATCCATTCATCGCCGGCTATACCGATATGGTGAAGAGATTGAGTGTGTAAGTATTATATAAACTCCCTCTCCCCCCTATGGATGAGAATGTATGTACTCCCAATGCTCTAAATATTTGATAAAGATTCAAGATCGAAGGTTGGTAATGTTTTCTATTTAGCTATCTGTCGATTAAGGATATGAGTTCACATAGTTCTACTAAATCGCTGGGCTGTCCAAACATCCATCTATAACTTAATTTTATAATTATACATACAAGACAAGTAGGAAAGCTTTAGTCGAGACTGCTCGACTTCGAGATCCCCTGAACCCTTCGAGGAACTGATATTTCACTGATTCTTCGCGTCTTTCTGGTTACACAGGATATTCACACTCACTCTCAGACACACATAGGCACGCACGCATAAACACGCATAAACTTAATTGCTTAATAACTCTTCTAGTGAATGGACTTTCTTCATGAAACTGCATTTGCCAAAGCACAAGTCTCTACTATTTGAAATACGCCTTTTAAAAATTTGTTGAGGAGGGGGTTGATATAGGGGTGGGGGGTAAATTTAACAAAAATCAAAATTCAATAAAATACATATGAGTCTACATTTAAAATTTGGAGACTTTAGCTCTTAAGGTATATGAGATATAATTAAATAACTTATTTTCGATAAGGTTTTTAATCGATAAAAGGATAACGGAATCTGTTATCGATTTTCGAAGGTATATATACGGACATTTAAAAGACAAAACCATTATACCCTGATTTCCCATTGAAAATGAGTTCAGAGTATACAAATAGAAGAGAGTCGAATCATTTATAGCGAAATGGAGATACTCGACCTGGCCGACGCCCAAGGCAGTCTGCCCTTGTACTTCAGAACCTACAGAGCACAAAACATTAAAAATATATATATGCACCATGATTTCCGATAACTGAGTATTAATAATACCTACCTGAGTATTGATAATACCTACGATTACCTACAGTATAGGATAAAGACTTTCTGAAGTCACTACGTACATCCCAGTGATGGCTATACAGACTTGGGGTATTTCGCTCTTTCGCATACAGCAAATATACATACCTATATAAAAGTACATGCATGGTATATAATTTTTGATTATTTATCATTAAGAATAGCAATCTATTCTAGTAAGCTGTCCTAATTTACCCTAAATGCATTTTCAATAGGAAATCAGGGTATAATGATTTTATGAAATGTATCTATAAATTAAATATATATTATATATATATATACATATATGCGTCCTTCCATCCGTCTGCCCGTTTATCCGTCTGTTTGAACGCGTCGATCTCAGAAGATATAAGAGCTAGAAACTTTCTTAGGTTCATGTATGAATATCACACGCTTATCGAGTTTTCTTCCAAAAATCGATAACTAATCCCTTTGTTTCGTTATTGATTAAACCTTATCAAAAATCAGTTATAAAATAATTAATCATCATTAAAACTAGAGTACCCATATTTTAAATATAAATGCATTCGTGATTATTTTTTAGAATTTCGATTTAAAATTGTAAAATTTCACCGCTATCCCCAAATTCGCCCTTTTAAAAAGCGTATTTCATATCCGAGAGACTTGTGCTTTGGAAAAAAGTCGCATATTAATATTGTAATAACGATCTGAAGATAGTCCATCTGCAAAAAAAACCCTTAATAAGCAAGCAAGCAGTCTAGACAAGAGCTATCTTACTTGCTATATCGTTTTTTACCCCAAACCCATTGAAAATGGGAAACCAGGAAAGACTTGATAGACTCCATTATATATATGTCCGTTTGTCCGCATGAACGCAATTTTTTTAGACGCTATTGAAGCTAGAGATTTCAAATTTTGAACATATATTCGTATATACCCTAAATTTATAAATTGTTAAAATTTTCCCTATTGGCAAATTGGAAAGTTCATTTCCCAAAACCAATATACTCATTTCAGTTTCGTAAATAAGAATAAAAAAGGGGATGGATTTGAAGATCCGGCCGCAATAAGATATATGTATTTCGCAAAGTCTCCACGCTCAAAATCAATGCGTGAAAGAGTCTAAGATAGTTTGCACTTCTAAGTCAAAGCCCCAGTGCTCATCTTCGTATCTATACGTTTATATGTATAATGATACTGTGGCAATCAACTTAATTGAGATTCACAGTTTAATCGCAGTTGCTTCACTTAAAGGCATAGAGCTCTACACCAATGGGTCTATATAAATAATATCGTTAAATTATTTTGGCCCTAGATTAATATTTACATTTGGTATGAGAACGTCAAAGATAATACTTATAAATCATATACATATGTACATATTATATATGTACATATCTTCTTCATCTTACGAAGGAGTGTAAAAATACACTATGAGAACATATCGTAGCATTCCCACGAAATGATCATGATTGATTTTAATGCAGAACAGTTAGACAATGTCTGTCTCACATACTTGCAAAAAATAACAACTAAATTCGCTCTAGTTTTTAAGCTTATGTACAATAAAAAAAATTAAACAAGTAAGACAGCTCTAGTCGTGACTGTTCCACTACGAGATCCCCTGAACCCTTCGAGCAACTGATGTTTCAACAATTATTCGCACATGCACAGACACACGCACACACCGAGACATACGTACGCACGCATAAACACGCATTGGTTGCTTACTATGGGAACTTAATTGTTCAATAACTTCTTTCTTGTGAATGTACTTTCTTCATGAAACTCTCAGATTATAATTATAACATATGCATTTGAAATACGCCTTTAACAAAGGTGTGGGTGAGGGGATGAATATAGGGGTAAGGGGTATACTTTAACAAAAACCAAAATTACTTGTGGGGTCTGCCACGCCTCCTTCTGCCTGTTACATACTTTTAACAGAACCATTATACCCTGATTTCCTGTTTTCAATGGGTTCAGGGTATAAAAAAAGATTTTTCTGTAAAATTAAATTTTACGACATACGATCAATTCGCAGGAATGCGACGAACATTTTTAGAGTTTTGAGTTATTTTGATATGAATCGGTATTTAATTATCTAAAATGGATTTGAAGGAATATTTCAAGCGCATATGCATATGCATATGTGTACATATATGTATGCAAAGAGCGGGACTATACTACATAGCATACATACACACAGATTCATACATACATATGTAAGTAAATTCAACATCCGACGGTAGTTATAAACAAATATAATGAACGATGATTGTCATTGCTTGGACTACTCCCACACATTGAATACACGAACCTGTACGAAGGGGCAGGCGCATATAGGCGCTCACGTTCTCGCACGAATGAGAAGCACATTGGGTACTTTGTTTTATGGGATGTTTTGTCTCTCTCCCGCCTAATTACCACTCTGCGTGGCAATAATTACCAATTACTAAACTCTCGCTCTCGCTCTCTCACTCTCGGTCTCCCACGCTCTCGTGCTCACGTCCTCTCTTTGACGCTCAACGCTCAACGGTCGACGCTCTCAAGCTTGCTCTTTATGCTCTAGCGCTCTCACACTCTTTATATCTCTCTCTCTCAACAGTGATTCCGGTTCTTCTCTCTTGCTTTTATTGTATACTCTCTCGCGGTGCGTGTGTGTGCGAGCCCGTCGTTCGTTTAGGGTGAAAACTAACTCAGTGATACAAAAAATGTGAAGATACTGATACAATTGGTAGTATGAAATCGACGGTGGAAGCGGCTAGGTTCACGTTATCGAGGTACAGCGCTTAGTGCAACAGAGGATTAAAAAAATTAAAAAGAAAAAATCACAAAAAATATATAACACATAGTTCGAAATGAATATTAATATTAAAAGCAATAATAAAACATTTTTATTGTACACACGTACAAGCATTTAAAAATGCCTACATATGCCTAAATGCTAAAAGAAGCCAATGAAACTGCGCAATTTTTATTGCAAAACTCGAAACGGTGCTTAGACGAAATCACTAATCATTGTCGCCTAGCATAAAAATAAGCGTATAAATTATATATACATTATGTATACTTGCATCGGGTTCATTTTGTGCTAAATATTTGTGTTTGGTATAAATTCATTGGTGGCGCCATTTGATTTTACATAAATTCAACTGCAAAATAAACGAATCCCAGAAAAATTGCCGGAAAAGTAAATAAATAAATGAATATCGAATTTGTCCACATAAAACATGCATTCAACTGTGTTATTTCATATATTGTGTGCTATGGATTATCAGTGCATCAGAGTACAAACGAAAACTGTTTTAGTAACTGTTCCCATAACGGTTCCTTATATATCAATGCCTACATCTATTAACCCGACAACCGCAACCACAACAACTGTCTTCTCATGGCATATGTTCGCCCAAACGTTGCGTTTTCGTTCCAATTCTTTGTGCTCTGCCCACTGTGCCGCTCGACAAAAAAAAAAAAATAATAATAATAATTACTAAATTCGTGCCTACGGATATATACATATATATATATATATATATATATATATATATATATATATATATATATATATATATATATATATATATATATATATATATATATATATATATGTGTGTGTGGAATATATTGAATTTAGGCAGTGCAAAACTGTATAGAAACAGTAAAGAGCAATGGAACAATCGTGTGAGTGAAAGAGATGATGTATCACATCAAAGGGGTAGGGTGAGAATTTGTGTGTGTGTGTGTGCACTCTCACCGAAATAATGAGGCACGTGGTCCATGTGAGAGCAGTAGATTTGCAGTAAATTTGAATACATATGTATATGTGAACACACAGGCCTGCCTGAGCCTGTGGTTGTGTCTGTGTTGGCGTGTGCGTGTGAGTTCATGCGGCTGTGCGTACATAAAAAAGAGACAACTGTCTCGCCCGTTATAAGCAGCCACGGGTAAAAGTGTTGATATTAAAAATGCAAAAAGCACAATCGAGCGTTCATCTATTCGCTCGCCATCTATCTCTCTCCCTCCCGCTCTCGCTTTTGCTCAACAACAACAACTTCGCCCTCGCCTGCAAGGGTTTCGGCTATCGTGTGCGCACAACAATGCGTGCATACGTTAGCTTATTTACATACAAATAAATACCTATGTATGTCTGTACACACAGACATCTGTAACTATGGGATGTACATATGTACATTCATGAGGCGTATGCCTCGCGCGAATCGCGCTTGATGAGCTTTGAGTCTTGTCAAATGTATAAATAATTGACTCGCCCTGCAAGATCCCTTTAAGTTCTTGAAACTTTAAGACTGGTGTACAGTCAAATGCACATGCATGTACATGCCTTGTTTGTAAGCTTCCATGGTCGGCAGTTCACCTGCGCCTGCCACCTGGTCACAGCAATTACACCCTCGCTTTTACGTATGCGCTCACCCTCGCGCCTCACCTGGACTTGGTAAGGTGCGATCTGGCCCTCGGTTCTTTGCAGATTGCAGAGGTACGGACCGGAAGTTCCTTCATTCCAGGCTCAAATTTAATTGCGAAGCCCAATCAAGGACAATTTTTTACCCTACTTTATCTCTACCTCTACCTATACTTCTAACTCTACCTCTACCGTTCTGTTCGTCCCTCGTTTCGCTTATGAGTAACGTAAAGGATGCACATACACTCAGACTATGTACGTACATTCACATGCGCTCCATTCCACCTCTCAATTGTATTTCAGGTGCAAACCAGTTTGAACTCGTCACGCGTCTCACACCCGATTCAAAGTTCCTATAATATTTAAGATAAATTAAAGAACAGTACAAAAACAAAACAAAACTTAAATACTACGAAAAATAAATTCAAAGCCCTATATATATCAACCATAAATATCGTAAAAGAATATCAAGTATATCGCTCAATCAATGACGAACAAATCGTGAAATCGTACGGAATCGGATTTCGAATCGGAGTCGTTAATAAGAAGCAAATCAAATGAGACTAATAGCCAAACGAAATAGATCTATTTGCACTAAGATTTATTAGATATTGGGTAAGTACAGTTAGCAGATCTACCAATTACTTAAATGAAAACTTCGATTCTCTGCGGAGACTTTGAACAGCACTAAATCATCATCTATTCACTCATGTATAAAATTATTTATGCACGGAGCTGCGCATACGCTCAGCTCTACTACATGGGTATTAATTGTCCGACTATTTATCGCATACTATCTCCCAAAAAAAAAAAAAAAAAACACCAATTTGACATAAATTGCAAAAACAATCTTTTGGTCAATACACAAAAATAATAGCACGAACGACTAGCTGGATATCTAAACTGCAAATGATTCCACCTGCAAATGGAATATAATAGATTTTTCTCCTTTTCAAAAATGTGGTATACTATATCTCTAAAATAAACAATATAAAATATTATTTGTCGAATCAATCCTATTTATACAACTGATTCCTAGAGTTCGTTAGGATTTTCACATACGACGACCACATACGAAATACGACATCGACAACGGATTCCTAGGGTTCCTTAGGATTTACATATACGACATACCATATACGGCATACGACATCGATGATCAAAGACAAAATTGACCTCAAGTAACCCGATTGCGGCCGAGCATTGTATTCGTAGCCAATTAAAATAAGCGTAGATATTTGGCGTCGAGGCAAAACCGAGGCGAACGAAAATCACCCTTTAACGCACGGCGATAATTAGTGGCGAGCTCTAATTAGCCAATGACAAGGCATTTGATGTTTGTGTTGTTTTTCTCCTCCTCATTTAATTTCAGTTATTTGCAATGTAACGCCGCACTCTCTCTAGCAAAAGTTAAAGAGCGCGTCAACTTGTGTTTTTAGCCGCTCTTTTGCTGTTGAGATGCTGGGGGAGAGAGCGACACTTTGTGTCTGCGTGTGTGTGTGTAGCCCCCTTGCTTCGTGATAGAAGAGTAAAGCAACAGTGCGATATTAAGTTCGGCAGCTCGGGTCTTGATTGGTCGTCGCTCGTCGGGCGGCCCCCATAGCAGTAGCAGCGGCAGCGGCAGCACTAGAAGCAGAAGCAGCAGCAGCTATTCCCCATACCATCGTACCCATGTGCCGTCTCTTGCACATATCTCACCCCCTTCGACACACACACACACACGCATCGCAAGTGTTCTGCCTGCTCATATGTTTTATATGGTTTGGCTTTGCTTTGCCCACACCACGCCACATACATACATACATTCTGCTTTTTGCGCTCTCTTCTGTTCTCTACTGCCGCAATAATCAACGTAAGCTGAGGCGCTCTCTTTGCGCGTGTGTTGGCTTCTGTTTCTTCGTTTTTTTTTTCTTCTTTTGCATGCTTTTCTTTTGTAATGCCGAGTGGTAATGTGTTTGTATGGTAAGTTAATTGCTCCTTGTCGCCCGCACACACAGATACGTTCAACCGGCCCGACCCCTTCAAGCCATATACATATGTCTGAATGTATGTATGTATATACATTTGTATGTTTGCCGTCTGCTCTTGTTACTGGCTGAACATCAAACCTTGTGATTCGTTATGGCCTCGAATGGGGAGGAACGCGATGGCACAACCAAACGACTAATTACAAGAGCACGCAATTAACCAGCACAATATAACTAACTGAGTAAGCACACACACAAGTATTTGTATCTGTGAGTGTGTATGCTGCCTCTCGACTTTTGTGAACGTTTACATGGATACATGTACATATATACATATGTTTGTGCCTCGCTGGACGCGTCATGTAGCCAATTAAAATAAAGCTGTGCAGACTCTCCCAGCACATGGTATGCGTAATTGTCCTCACACGTACATATGTAGGAATATACATATGTACTTACATGCACATATATGAGTACATAGCTATGTATGTATGTGTGATTCTATTTGAAGACTCCATTCTTTGTTACTATTATCTGAATTCTTCCAAGTGTTTTAATTGGCGCTATGGGTGTGGCCGAGTCGAGACAAATTTGCATATAGCACTACTCCCACACACCCGCGTACATATGCATGCATATATGCTAGTGTGTCTGTATGTGTGCGCGTCTTCAGCCAGACGTCAGGCATTTCTTACGAGCTCTTCCGTTTCCTCCCACCAAAGCGTGCACATGGAAATCAACAAACAAGGAAGTGGTGGGAATAAAATCGATAAGAGCAAACAACGAAATTAAAATAAAAAGGAATAAGAAAAAACTGCGAAAAAGCTTCTTTTAACCAAAATTCACTGGGGGGCATGCATATACATACATACATATGTATATATATGTATATTCGCAAAAGTACATTTCTACGGAATGGTCTCGCGGTGTGAATATATAAAAATAAAAAGGAAAGTTAAACACACACATTTGAAGATATACACGTGAGTGTAGACATATACATATGTATGTATGTATGTTGTTCATATGTAAATACATACATATGTAGATAAATTGAATTCCCTGACTTTGGCAATCAATAATTACACTAGAACAAACGTCCTCACATATATATGTATGTATGTATGTGTATATGTATATAGACGTATGAACATATACATATACATACATATATACATAATATGTATTCAAATAGAAGTAAGAATGAGAATGTATAAATAATATGGATAAACAACAACGGGAAGTGCAAGAGGACAGAATGTGGGTGTCGGTTCTGTTAAGGGGAAGTTGACGGATTCTAAAGTAAAACGAAAATGTATGCAAGCGAAATAAGAAATCAGAGCGCAAAAGGAGATAAAAAACCAACTGTAACCGAAGGCAAAAAGGGAATAGTAAACAGACGCGCGCATAATTGTGCACATTATGCTTGTGAGTGCGTACTCAGCTTTTCACCCTCGTTGTCTCTGTCCCTTTTCAGCGATTGCCATAGCTGTAGCTACAACGGCAGTGGCAGCAACTGCTACGGCGACCGCGACAGCGACAGCGACTAGCTCTTTGGCACTGAGAAACAGCAATAGCAACACCCACAATGAACTGTAACTGAGTCTGGGTGGGGGCTACGGTGGCGTTGCCATAGAAGACGATGAAGGTGACGACGACGACCAGCAAATGCAGAACGAAATCTGTGTATCTGCGACTAAGAGAGAGAGAGCGAGAGAAGCCTGGCAGCAGCAAGTACAAGTCTTCGCGGCGCAGTCAGCGCATTATGTATAAATTATTTATTTACATTATATTTATGCGCGCCGCGCACTGCCGCGCTCTGCCGCTGTGGGCTGTTGCAAGGCGCTCGGCTTCAGGAGCACGACGCGTTCTCCCAGTTGGGCTGCCTCATTGTCTCTGGCAAAGAAGCCGCAGCCAACCTCGTTGCCATGCTGAGTGTGAATTTGAGCAATTACAATACAATAAAAAAAATTAAAGGGGTAAGAATGGCAAAGACAAAATGAGAAACTTAATCTGAGCCCTCTATCTATCTCTCTCGATGTGTATGTGTAAGAGAGCAGGAGGGCTTGCAGTTATTATTAAAGCGATATGGTTATTGAAAAATATATGTGTGTATGTATGTATGTATGTATGTATGTATATACGTGGTCACCGCAAGACAGTGAGCTATGGGAACAGGGAGGGAAATCAGCCAGAGTGAGAGCCAAGGTGGAGAGGCGCGCTGTTGAGTTAAGTACATCTCGCTCTTTCATTTAGCACTGCAGAAATAATTACAAGCTCGCTCTCAGAAAACACATAGCTCTCTTTGTCTCTTTTTTAAGTTATTTTCGATTCATTTTGGCTTTGGCTGACGCTCTCAGAAATCACATGCTCTCACTCACGGCTCCCTCTCGCTCGGTCTCGCTCTCGCCCTCTCTCTCGCTCTCTCCCTTGCTATGACTCTTTGTGTATACAATATAATCGTAACACGCTCGCTCTCAATCGGGCGCGAGCGAGATGGGTGCGCTCGGCTCAAACTTAGTGGCAATGATTGCGCTTTACTGCTCATTGCTTTTGTTTTGCGGATGCTGATGCGGCGGCCGCAGCTTCGTCAGCTTTTCTGTTTCACTCGCGCTCGTTTAGGATGCTTTAAGGGGTCTCTCATTACCGCTCGTTACCGTAACCCTAAACTTGATATAAGCCAGAGAGATGGGGCTGACTGACTGCTGGCTGGCTGGGGAAGATGACACACCAGCCAGCCGCGCTGCATAAGGCGTGGCTCCGATTCCCACACTCAGACTGCTTGGCTGGGGACTGATGATAAAACATGCCTACTGCAACGACGCGAGGCGAAACAAGGCGAAGCGAGGCGAGGCGAGACTCGTCCCGCGACTCGTCTTGTCGTGTTGTCAGCGACTGTTGTTGTAATTATTTGCATTTAAACTTTTTGGTACAGTTGCAATTACATAGAGAGCTCTACAAGCGTATACCATATATGTATGTATGTACGTATGTACGTATGTATGTTCGTATGTATTGCTTATTCACATGCCCGCATGTGTTTTTCACACACTCGCGAATCAACTGCCGTCCATACTCGAGCGTGTGTGTGTGTGTTTACATAACGAGTGCTGTGTTAGTATTTAAGCATATTTTGCATGCTTGCACGCCAATCTCACCACCCACTCGACCTCAGCGAAAATAAAAAGCTGTCAAACACACACACACACACGCTGTACTGTATACATTATATACATAAATCGTATACATATATACATACGAACGTACGTAAGTATTTGTGTAGTATGTGAGTTATAGCAGCGTCGCGCTGTGCGTGGAATATTCGCAGTGCTGCGAATGCGGTTTCCTCATCGCATCTTTTGATTGGTTGTTTGTGCGCCAGCGCTTATCTACAGAGGGCCCCCTCCTGCCGCTCAAGCCTCCTCTGCCCAATTGAGTCGCTGCTGGCTTCGTTAATTAACATTTTCCATTTGCCAAGAAACAATCTGCACTTAATTGGCGCAGACAAATCGGCACACGATTCGTCACGGCGCTGGGATCCACCCACCTATCATTGACTAGGCTAATATATATAAATATAAATAAACTGAACATGAAAAAAAAAGAACAGAAACCGAAGCAAAGACAGAGGAACAGAGATAGAATCAT